TACCATCAAACATCCACATCTGCCTATCCCAGGTCCTTGGGAAGGACTCGATAGGTAGACAAAAATGCCAAATCCAGTCTGAACATCTGGCTGACTGTGCGATGATCCATAATAATAATAATAATAATAATAATAATAATAATAATAATAATAATAATAATAATAATAATAATAATAATAATAATAATAATAATAATAAAGTTGGAAGGGACCTTGGAGGTCATCTAGTCCAACCCCCTGCTCAGGCAGGATACCCTATATCATTTCGGACAAATGGCTGTCCAGTTTCTTCTTAAAAACTTCCAGTGTTGGAGCATTCACCGCTTCTGGAGGCAGGTTGTTCCACTGGTTAATTGTTCTAACTGTCAGGAAGTTTCTCCTTAGTTCCAGGTTGCTTCTCTCCTTGATCAGTTTCCATCCGTTGCTTCTTGTCCTGCCCTCAGGTGCTTTGGAGAATAGCTTGACTCCCTCTTCTTTGGGGCAGCCCCTGAGATATTGGAACACTGCTATCATGTCCCCCCTCGTCCTTCTCTTCATTAAACTAGACATACCCAATTCCAGCAGCCGTTTCTTATATGTTTTAGCCTCCAGTCCCCTAATCATCTTTGTTGCTCTTCTCTGCACTCTTTCTAGAGTCTCAGCATTTTTTTTTTTACATCGTGGTGACCAAAACTGGATGCAGTATTCCTGATCTTGATGGCGAATTTTTGGAGCATGGAAGGCAGCAAGTGCTGGCAGAGACATTCGCCTCTGCAAAACTGCAGAGAACAGGCTGGCACAATAACAAAGAATCTGCAGAGATCTTTTTCTTTCTCTCTCTCTTAGATCTCTGAGGAATACTTCACAAAAAATACTTTAATTGACTTAGCTTCTGTACTGACAACAACCTCTACAAAACCATGGGAAGATCTTAGGATTCAACGGAACATACTGACTAGGAAAAATGTTTGGCAACAAAAAAAAGAATGAAGAAATTAGATGATGGGATTCGTTTGATGGAATATTTAAAGATTAAACACTTGTTTGAATAGGGTTAAAGAAATAAAATTTTGAATTCAAATGAATCTTAGCTTAGGAAGGATAGGCTCCTTAAAGCAATACAGTATTTTTTTTTGCCTATGATGTGAGAGAGATAAAAATGTGTGGGAAGATTTATATAAGGGGAATGTATTAAATATTCAAATATAATGGATTTTGAAGATTTGAATATGTTTTAAAAAATGGAAACATTGATTATTAAGGTATTTTATTTTAAGAGGGATATGCTTTTTTAGATAGTATATTATTTTTGTCCTTTCTTCTTTCTATTTGAAGATGTGAAAAATGTAGGTGTTGGGATGGTTCATATGAGGAAAAAGATTTCAATGTAGAAGTGTAATTAACTCTAAGAAAATTTTAACGAGTAAAAATGCTTTCTTTTGAATATTGTGAGGAAAATAAATTTAAATGAGAACTCTAAAAACAGGATCTAGGACAACGTGATCTAGATGATTAATTAGAAAAGAAGCTTAATAATGAAGTGGAGCATATTCGCAGAGATTTAATTGTTACTTTTCAAAAAAAATTACCAAGAAAAGTTTTAATTTAAGCTTGATAAAAGAGAATATTTTTGGAAGAAATGAAAACCAAGGAAAATTACTATGTGGAATATGGAACTATAAAAATTAAATGTGATTATTTGCAAATGCAAACCTAGACAACACACTGTTTACCAAATATTAATGGTGATATGTAAAAAACAACAACAATATTTTCCAAAGCGACTGAAGGCAGGACAAGAAGCAACGGGTGGAAACTAACCAAAGAGAGAAGCAACCTAGAACTAAGGAGGAATTTCCTGACTGTGAGAACAATTAACCAGTGGAACAACCTGCCTCCAGAAGCGGTGAATGCTCCAACACTGGAGGTTTTTAAGAAGAGACTGGACAGCCATTTGTCCGAAATGGTGTAGGGTTTCCTGCCTGAGCAGGGGGTTGGACTAGATGACCTCCAAGGTCCTTTCCAACTTCATTGTTGTTGTTGTTGTTGTTGTTGTTGTTATTGTTGTTGTTGTTGTTGTTGTTATTATTATTATTATTATTATTATTATTATTATTATTATTATTATTATTATTATTATTATTATTATAATATCACTGGAGGTCTTTAAGAGGAGACTGGACATTCACCTGTCTGAGATGGTATAGGTTCTCCTGCTTGAGCAGGGGGCTGGACTAGAAGACCTCCAAGGTCCCTTGCAGCTCTATTCTATTCTAATAAAATGTCACAAATTTGGGATGTATGCGATTGGCTCAGGTTAATTTTGATTGGCTCAGGTTAATTTTGATTGGCTCAGGTTAATTTTGATTGGCTCAGGTTAATTTTGATTGGCTCAGGTTAATTTTTTGCTCAGCACCAATAAATGGGAAGCTGAGTGAGTAGCAAGCAGCTGCTGAGCTCTGTGAAGGCCCAGGAAGGAGGCCAAAATCCTGCATAACCCACATTTCACCTCCTGTTCCCTTCCCCAAATTAAATTCTAGGCATCTCGTCAAGGAGGAAGAAGGTGAAGAGCAGAGAATTCATTCATCTGATCTTTCTCCCTTTCAAATCGCATCCTCCCTCAATCCATTCAGCTGCAAGAGTCCTTGTTTCTCTCTCTCTCTTGCTCCTGCCAAAGGTTTGGCTTGAGCCATTGGATCAAATGTTGGAATTCCCAGCAAATGTTTTGAGTGGCTCATGTCTTGCTGGGAATAAGTCTCTGCTGAACGCTAGGGAGCGCCAGATTCCTAAATATGGCCTTGCCAATAGTGATGTGGAAGAGACAGGAGAAAAGTTTTAAAGCTCCTGTAGGTTTAATCCCTGGGAAAGATGGAGGGCAAGAGAAGAAGGGGGCGACAGAGAAGGAGGTGGCTGGATGGAGTCCCTGAAGCAGGAGGCGTGAGCTTCAATGGACTCCAGAAGATGGTAGAGGACAGGAAGGCCTGGAAGAGATCAACCCTGACTGCTCTTTAGAAGGCCAGATCCTGAAGTTGAAACTCAAGTACTTTGGCCACCTAATGAGAAGGAAGGACTCACTGGAGAAGAGCCTGATGCTGGGAAAGATGGAGGGCAAGAGAAGAAGGGGACGACAGAGAAGGAGGTGGCTGGATGGAGTCACTGAAGCAGGAGGCGTGAGCTTAAAGGGACTCCAGAAGATGTAGAGAACAGGAAGGCCTGGAGGAACGTTGTCCATGGGGTCACGATGGGTCGGACACGACTTGGCAACTAACAACAACAGGTTTAATCCAGGGGTCTTCAAACTTGGCCCTTTTATGACTTGTGGACTTCAACTCCCAGAATTTCTCAGCCAGGCACGCGTGCCTGGCTGAGGAATTCTGGGAGTTGAAGTCCACAAGTCATAAAAGGGCCAAGTTTGAAGACCCCCTGTTTTAATCAATGGGCAGACTGCAATTGGGTGCTGTTTGAAAGCCTAGGCAGATGCTGAGGCCAATCAATAAAGGCGATTTCCCCTGTTGCTCTATGAGTTGTTAAGAGAGTTCCCCCCCCCCATTTCATGACCTTTCTTGCCACACTGGTTAAGTGAATCACCAAAGACGTTAAGTTGGTAACACGGTTGTTAAGTGAATCTGACTTCCCCCATTGACTGTGTTTGTCAGAAGGTCACAGAAGGTGAATCACAAGACTCTGGGACCGTCTAAACCAAGTCACAGGTAGTCCTTGCCTTACGACCACAATTGAGCCCGAAACTTCTGCTGCTAAGGGAAACATTTGTTAAGTGAATTTTGCCCCATTTTACGACTTTTCTTGCCGCAGTTGTTAAGTCAATCACTGCAGTTGTTCAGTTAATCACAGAAGATCTTGTCAGAAGGTTGCAAATGGTGACTACGTGACTCCGGGACGCTGCAATCATCATAAATTTGAGTCAATTGCTATGCACCTGAATTTTGATCACGTAATCACAGGGATGCTGCAGTGGTTGTGTGAAAAATGATCATGAGTCATGTTTTTCAGGGCTGTTGTAACTTATAACTATTCACTAAATGAATAGTTATAAGTGAAGGAATAGCTGTACCTTCAGACATTCGAGAAAGTTTATCTGGTATCATAGACCAGTGGTATAGTACATCATTTTGTAAAAAATTACTTTTTATATTATAACGTAGTATGGATTTCAGTCCTTTTAACCACGCATTTTCCCACGGATCCTTCTGTATATTATAGCCAAAGTTCTTAGCCCGTTTTGTCATCCATTTCTTAAGTGCTTCTTCTTCCATTTCAAATGTCAGGAAAAGCGTAGACATTTGGGCAGTTACATGGACCCAGATCACTGTTCTGCTAACTTTGTCCTGGTGGGAGTAGCATCTCTCTCCTAGCCAAGGGTGTAAATGAGCAGCTACCAGTGTGGGACACAAAGCAGGAGAAGCAGAGTAAAGCAAAAGCCACTATGTAAGGAGAAGGCATGGCAGAATCTGGGGGCAGAGTTAAAAGAGGGATCAGCCTAGAATCCTTACGTAGCCACGAGTAGAATCCCTTTGATCCTTATCTAATTCCTAGCAGTGTTGACTGTTAGTTGAGAAGATTCCTGTGCATAAGCATGATTAGCAATAATCAGTTTAATTGGACTTTCCCGTGGGGACCTGATTTTTCATGCCTGGTATTAATCATTTGTTTGTGGCTACATAAGGATTCTAGGCTGACCCCCTTTTTAACTCCACCCACAGATTCTACCACTCCTTCTCCTACACTCAAGCGTGCAGAACAAAGGGAGCAGATTCACTCGTTTGGACTTTTCTCAGATGGACCTCTGCAGGCCAGCTCTTCCTCCAAGAAGCCTTACCTTCAATGGTCCCCCACTTGGTCTTACGACCCAGGACCTTCTTCCCATTCACCTGGTGTTCCTTGTCAGCACCTACCACTGCAAAGGGGATTTTCTCCTAGATTAAGAGAAGCAGAAGGTGGTGAGGAATACCGTGAGATCACATAGAAAAAAGTCAGCAGAGTCTAATATGTATTCACATGGATCACATGTCTGAGAGACTCAGAGCATCCAGAACTTCACCTAAACTGAAACACACCTTCAGAAGCTGATCACGTTTCAATCCAATAGAGAATTACAAGCTGATTACTTTAAAAAAAAAAAAGCCAACAGAAGCACATTTCAAAATCCAACTTTGTTAGTAGACCTCACGACTGGGTATCTTGTAATTGCCGTGTTGTCTAGCAAGATCGATATTTAAAACCTAGCAAGGATGTGGAGGAAGAAAGGAAGGTAATGCTGTTAAAAAACATTCCTGAAAAATAGCATGTAGCTTTGGCTGAACCACAAACTCAGCCAGGAATCCTCCATAATGTTCTCTCCATCCTGTTGACCACCATGGACTTACCCGGATTTTATCGTTCAAAAGCCGATCATCCGGGTCATCGTCAAAGTCAACTTGAGGGTAAACATGGATTCCGTGGGCCTTCAGGTCTTTCTGGACCTGCCAAGATAAAAAAAATGGTAGTCATAATCATGACCAGGAGGAGAACATTCCTTTCCTTCATGGAAGGATAAAGAAGTATCTTATAGAAGCAAAACTGATCTGTGGCGCATTGTGATATTCTTGATCAACCCCCAAAGTGCAGGTTTTTCTCCACTTTTTGTCCCTTGATTCACAGAAATGCTGTAAATCTCTTTATGGAGTCAAATCAACCACGAAACCTAGAGGAATTTTGTAATTGGATGCTTCTCTGTTTACAAACAAAACATCAGGAAGTCATATTCAAGGCCAATCTTTTTCCTGAGATAAACGTTTGGGATTTTTCTCCCCTTTAAGAAAGCATCTGTTATTTCAGATGGCCAGGTCAATTTTATTCTTGGACCATGGTAGTATTAAGCCCAGCATTCAAAGTCAGAATGGGAAATTCTGGGAGCTGAATTTCTTAAAGTTCTTAAAGTTGTGGAGGCTAAGAAACCCCGAGTTAGAATCTTGACTCTGAATTATAGATTCAGAGTGTATAAGCCTATCTAAAACTCTCTTCGCTTCATCTTATTCCTAACACAAGCAAGATGACTTCTTTGAGTTTCTCATACTTTCTATTTTTCCAGGACTCGCTTTTCTGTAATGGCAACTGATGGAAACTAATCAAGCAGAGAACCAACCTAGAACTAAGGATAAATTTCCTGACAGTGAAAACAATCAGGGGAACAGCTTGCCTCCAGAATAGCAATAGCAATACCAATAGCACTTAGATTTATATACCACCTCATAATGTTTTACAGCCCTCTCTAAGCGGTTTACAGAGTCAGCATCTTGCCCCCAACAAGCTGGGTCCTCATTTTGCTGACCTCGGAAGGATGGAAAGCTGAGTCAACCTTGAGCCGGTGAGAATCGAACTGCTGAAGTGCTGGCAGTCAACAATCAGCAGAATTAGCCTGCAATACTGCATTCTAACCACTGCACCACCACAACTCAGAGGTTGTGGGTGGGTGCTCCAATGCTGGAAGCTTTTAAGAAGAGACTAGATATGTGACTGGGCCTCCTGCTTGAGCAGGAGGCCCAGTCACTAGAAGACCTCCAAGATCCCTTCCAACTCTGTTATTCTGTTATTCTCCCCTTTCTCTAGGTCAACCAGTGGTCGGATTCAGCCAGTTCGCTCCAGTTCGGCAGAACCGGTAGCTAATTTTTTGTTGCCCAGGCCCAGAATGGACATCGGGAAGCGGCATCCACAGAGAACCGGTTGTTCACCTGTTTGAATCCCACCACTGAGGTCAACCCACCATTCTGTCATTAGGAACCTTCTGGGTTTCTCCTCACACAGATAGTAGTTCTCTTACCCTCTGTTTAAACTCTGCCCTTTCCTCCAGGGTCAAGGTGTCCGCTTTGGCGATGACGGGCACCACATTGGTGATCTTACTGAGACGTCTCATGAACTCCAGGTCCAAGGGGCGGAGCCTGAAGGGAAAAGACATGCAAGAAGACCTATATCTGGGATATGAACCGAGCGGTCATCACCTTGAAGCCTATTGTTGTTGGAGAATTTCCCCTTCCCTGGAGAAGTTGTCTACCCAATGCTCAAACACATATGGTGGTGGATTTCAAAGATCCACCTGTCACGGGTTTGCTTTGGATGAAGGAAAGCTTTCTCCCCAACCTTTGATGGGAACTGTAATCTAAAGACCATCTAGATAAGATGCTACGTCTATTTGTCTTGTTTATGGCCTGCTGGCTAAGGAAGATAGTTGCACTGTTCCTTTAAGAGTTTCCTACAAGTCCCAGGTTGTCATTTGGGCAGTTAAGCTAAAACCAGATTCAGAATATCGGAGTGGACAATGAAAGCGATCTTCAAGATCAGCAGTCTTCTCAATGCTTTGTTCTGAATAGAGCTGGCCTAGCTTTCTGTGACCACCTTTTTGCTTTTAATGAGCGGGGCTGGACTCTCACCGCAAAGGAGGACTTACCAGTGACCTGTGGGGGGGACAAAATACACACAGGCGTGTACACGGGTGTCTGGGATTTTCTGCTTGCGATTAATCAGGACCTCCTCTTTCAAATAGCGCTCATACTGTTCGTTGATATACTGAATGATCGGCTCCCAGCTACGAGAAAGGAAGAGGCAGAGATTCAGATTCCTGTTGCTTATTGCTCAAAACAAAGAAACAAACAAACAAAGGACAAAATTCTTTGAGAAAGTACCTTCATTCAAAGAACATCAATCTGTTCCTACTTCAGTGAAACCACTTTTTAAATGGATTAACTAGAAGAAGGGGGTGTCTGTTGCCGCCTCAAAGTCTGGCAAATTGAAATCTACATCATAGCTATAATGGGGCAAATGGTGTCATACGAATCAAGTTACATCATCCACACAATGATAAGATGCAATGACATCATTTGCCCTTTCTTGGTGAGGTTGTCTGCCCACCTTGATTGTTGTCATCTAGAAGTTTTCTTAAATGTCAAATGTCCTGCAATCACACCTTTTTAATTTGTCAAGTGTTATGTCTTCGCCACAAGCCTATGTTACATCTAGATTTGTTAACAGAAGCGCACTCTCTCGAGGCAGTCCTCGGCTTACTGATGCCAATTGGGGGACAGAATTTCCATTGCTAAGAAGGGGGTTGGTTGAGTGAGTTGTAAACAATTTCACAACCTTTTTTTGCCATGGCTGTAAAGTGAATCCTTGCCCTTGTTAGGTAAATCATGCAGTCATCAAGAGAATCCAGTTTCCCACATTGATCTTGCTTGTTGGAAGCTGGCTGGGAAAGTCACAAATGGGGATTATATAAACTGGGATGTGGCAGTCCATGTTAGTTATCTTGCTTGTTGGAAGCTGGCTGGGAAAGTCACAAATGGGGATTATATAAAGTGGGATGTGGCAGTCCAAGCACCCAAATTTTGATCACATCACCCTTGGAAATGCTGCAACGGTTGTAAGGGTGAGCACTAGTCGTAAGTCACTTTTTCCGGTGTTGTTGTAACTTTGCACGGTCCCTAAATGAATCGTTGTAAGTCAAGGACTACCTATAGAGCATCCCATGCCGAACGTAAGTAGCCAGACATGTGCACAGGAGATGGTAATAAAAATGGAGAACGTGACTGCGACGGAGCCCTTAAACCTTGGCCCCTTTTGCACAGGTTTCAACGGCCCTATTGGCGCTGCCATCTTGACTTTTTTTTGACCCCCACTCTCAGATAACCTTGCATGCAGCAAAAGGACGGCAACCCCAGCTTTGGTGGTTGGGTGTATTAGATCCATTTAAAAGCTTCTCCTACTCTTGGGCAGTAAAGTGCCCCCTCTCTAATTAAGCCACTTTTAAAGGAGGGTGGTCTTTAAAAAAAAAGGACATATACGTTGAATGAATGAATATTGAATAAAGGAAATCAATGCCAGATCTCCTTCTTACCAGTTTTGATTGTTAATCTGGTCCCCAAATCCCGGGGTGTCCGTGACCGTCAGCTTCATCTTCACTCCTTTTTCTTCAACAACTGTCAGAGGAAGAGGACATTCGGTTAGGTCATCTTTCCAAATCCAGACTGAGACTCACCTGCTTCCTTCCTGCTTTTCAACTGCAGGCCCATCCTAAAAGTAAGCTCCATCTCTGTTGATGTTCCAGAAGTCCCTCAAGACCTGCTTTGGTCACCCAGAGTTGGGGAACCAATGACACCTTAAGATGGCTCCTTTATTCATAAATATTCCTTCTCTCCACGCCTGTGGTTTGTATAGTTTACTTGGTAATATATTTGAAGTTCTAAACAATGATTGCTTCATATTTTTATAATGATTGTATATTTATAAGTGTGGTTTTTATTTGATTGTTGTACGCTACCCTGAATTCCTTCTTGGCCGATGGATGGAAGGAAGGAAGGAAGGAAGGAAGGAAGGAAGGAAGGAAAGAAAGAAAGAGATAGAAAGAAAGAAAGAAAGAAAGGGAAAGAAAGAAAGAGAAAGATAGAAAGAAAGAGAAAGAGATAGATAGGTAGGTAGGTAGGTAGGTAGATGATAGATAGACAGACAGACAGACAGACAGATAGACAGATAGATAGGCAGATAGGCAGATAAGATGATAGATAGATCCTTAGATACGATAGACAGCTCTATAGATTGATAGATAGATAGATGGACAGATGGATAGATCATTCTGTCGGTCAAGATGACGAGTGGATTAGCAACTCCTTGAACCTTTCCAATCAATGCCAGGTGCAGGGACTCCTGATGGGGTTTAGAATGGGGGGCAGGTGGGGACAAAGACCCTTTATTGCTGTGGCTGAGGTTGAAAGACTACAGAAAACCTGCCGAAACGGGGCACCCCAAGGTCCTCAAAGGTGTCTGGTTGCCTGAGGTAAAGCACGAAGGATCCTCCCCTACTCCATGTGCAACTAGGCAGAGCTTATCCCCTTAGCATCTTCCCCTGGATGCTGAAAAGACCCTTCAACTTCCCTCTGTCTCCTCCCCAGCCTGGCCCCTTCTGGAGAGTAGGTGGGGAGGGGGGGGTCTCACTGATCTCAAACTCCGAGGCCAGTGGTGGGCTCTCCCTTTTGGAAGAATGACAGCATTTTCCCCCTCTGAAAAGCAGCATGAGCTTCCCGGGAGGGTCGCTATGGCGACGCTCTAATGGGTCAGTGGGAGTCTGGCACAAGACCCCTTTTGTTTCAAAGAGCTGAAGTGAGCAGGCCCAGCTCCTTTCAAACCCTGGTGGGTAACTGGGGAGTGGGAGGAGGGGGTGGGATTTGAAGGATGTGGAGGAAGAATAGTCTAGTTTAGATAGCACAATAAAGGGGGCCTCCTTTTTCATTGACCCAATAAGCCAGCTTCGCTTGGAAACCTTCGTGTCCCCTTCCGGTTTGCCCCATCCTGAGATCCACTCCCACCCCACAATCTCTCTCCTGGTCAGTCAGCAGCCCAGCTATTTTTCAAAAGGAATCCCTCCATTCTCGCAAAACTGTTGGTGATTTCCTCCACACCTGTAGAGAGGTTTCCCAGTTAGGAACCACACAAGGTTCCTACTCCTGCTTTTAGAACATAGAATCATAGGCTGGGAAGGGATCTTTGAGGTCTTCTAGACCAACCCCCTGCCCATCGCAGGAGATCCAAACTGTCCTGGACAAATAAATGGCTGTCCGGTCTCTTCTTGAAAACCTCCAGTGAGCTTCCGGAGGTAAGCCATTCCACTGGTTAATTGTTCTCACTGTCAAGACATTTCTCCTTAATTCTAGGTTGGTTCTCTCCTTGGTTAGTTTCCATTCATTGCTTCTCGTTCTGCCTTCAGGCGCCTTGGAAAATAGGTTGACCCCCCCCTTCTTCTTTGGGGCAGCCCTTCAAGTATGGAAGAATGCTACCTTCCTGATCTCCTCTCCCTCTCTCTCCCTCTCTCTCTCTCCCTCTTCCTCTCTCCCTCTCTCCCCCTCTCTCCGTATCTCCCTCCCTCCCTCTCTCTCCCTCCCTCTCCCCTCTCTCTCCCTCTCCCTCTCCCTTTCTCCCTCTCCCTCTCTCCCTTTCTCCCTCTCTCTGTATCTCCCCCCCC